GCTCCCCGTCGCCGCCGCGGGGCCGACGACTCTTCCCGCCGGGCCCGGCCGGTTTCCGAGGCAGCAGCCGAGGGGAGTCCCGCGCCGACTTCGCCCGGGACGGCCGCGGAGACCATCCAGGCGACAGCGGCAGCCGGGTAATCCCACCCCTCGACCGGGACTCCCTCTATACCCTAGCCCCCTCACCCGGGCTTCCCGCTTCCAGAAACTCCCGCAGCACGGGCGCCCCGAGGCCTCCAGGCCAGAGTCCCAGGATCGAGGGCCCTCCACCCCCCACGGGCTCCCTCAGCGACGCCCGAATCTGGAGGTTCCCTGTCAGCCCCGGGATCCTCTTTTGCACAATAACGGACTCGGGACCCGTACGGGCGCCTGGTCGGGAGGCAGTGCACCATTTCAGGAATAGGCTGTTTCTCTCAGTCTAGGTGAGATGCGGAAAAGTTTGCCAGGGCGAGGGGAATGCCCTCCAAACCGTGTGCCTGGTACTTGTTCAGTAGTCGATGTTGCCTCAGAGTTCCGTGGTTTGGTATCCCCTTAGACCTGAGCTGCCCCTTGGATCTTAGAAAAGAAGCTGAAATGTCTTTGTGGCCAGTTAGGGTTGCCTAAACCCCATCAGCGTAGACACCTTGAGTGTAAACTGTTAGCAAATAGGAGCTGCTTCTCCGAAATGAGCTGTGCGTATCCACGGTCATTGTAATAACTGCCACCACTTACCGAGTTACGTGGCAGGATTATGCCTGGCCCTTCACTTTACACATTCTCTTTGAACACTCACAACCTTTTGAGGAGAGGCAGTGAAAATTGTTCCTTATTGAATAGCTGAGGTATCCAGAGAGGTTTGAGCAACTTAATGTCACATAGCTAAGAAGTGGTGTAGCTGTGATTCAGTCCATATCAGTCCATATCTACCTGGTTCCTGGCATGCGTGATTTTAACGGTTTTGTTTCCCTGCTAAAGGGACAGAACATGAAGTTAAGAAGTTTAGAGGTGCCTGGCTGGCTCAGTTGGTAGAGGGTGCGACTCTTGATCTCAGGGTTTTGAGTTCAAGCCCCAGGTTGGGTGGAGAGATTATTTAAAACGAAATCTTTCTTTCTTTCTGTGTTTCTGTGTGTCTGTCTGCCTGTCTGCCTTCCATCCTCACTTCCCTCCATCCTTCCTTCCTTCCCTTTTTAGAAGTAGGCTCCATGCCCAATGTGGGGCTTGAACTCATGACCAAGATCAAGAGTCACATGCTCTACCAACTGAGCCATCCCGGTGCCCCCCCAAAATAAAATCTTAAAAAAAAAAAAAGTTTAGTTTAGATGTAATATTGACCTTTCACAGTAACCACCTCTGGCCTGGGGCTGGTGTTTTGGAATTGGTTTTTATTTTCAGTTCACCAATTTTTTTTCTTTAAACCCCATGACAAAGTTTCTGTTTTCTCAGGTGGGATGGGTGGGGTGGCTTTCTAAAAGTATTGGAGTCAGAGTACTCTACGTACTCTGGTCATAGGTGAATTGACTTGTCACTCTGTTGTAAGATTTTCATAGCTGAGCAGCTATAGCCTGAGGAAGCAAGCACTTCTACAGAGGAAGCAAAGAAAGTTGAACACTAGTTTCCATAACCTCCCTTTTCTCCAGTGCTCCAGGCTTTTCTGTCTCAGTAAACGACATCACCCATTGCTCAGCCAGAAACAGTGATCATCTCCCTTTTCCCAAGTCCAAGCTGTCAGTCACTTCATCCAACTTGTCAGCTCTACCTCCAGGATACCTCCCCCAAACTGTCCTCCTACCATCTCCCTAGTCTACGTCCTATTACTTCCTGTCTGTTAGGATCCTTTACACTCTTGTTACCACCCAGTTTATTCTGTACCCAGCAATCAAAATAATTTTTTTAAATCTTCATTTTATACATTTGAGAAGTATTTATTAAACGTCTAGCATGTATTAGGCTCTGTTCTGGGCACTGGGGATACAACATGAACAGTCAAAAACCCCTGCCCTCGTAGAGCTTATATTCTGCGAGAGGGAGTCAGATAATAAGTAAGATATAGAAGTAAATTATTTTGACATGTTAAATAGAATTAAGTACTAAGAACAAACAAAAACAGAGAAAGGAGTTAATACTTTTTAATAGGGTTAGCCAGGGATGGCCTGGGAAGGTGACTTTTAATAAAGACCTGAAGGAGATGAGAGTATGAGCAATGCAAGCATCTGGAGGAAGAATGTAGTCAGATCATATCACTGTTGTGCTGGAAATCTTCCTGTGGCTTCTTACTACACTAAGAATAAAATCCAAATTTCCTAACTGGCTTCTGCCTGTCTTCTGTCACTTTGCTGCAGTCACACTGGCTGCCTTTCTGTTACCCAAAACATGCTAAGCTCATTACAGAGCTTGTTCTTTTTGCCTGAAACATCCTTCCATCTGTTTGCAAGGCTGACATCTCATCATTCAAGCGTCAGGTTAAATAGTATCACCTCAGAAAAGCCTTCTTTAACCATTCTATCTGAAGTAGCTCCTTTTCCTTAATCTCTTCCATGTTATCATGTTTTAATGATTTTATAGCACTTACCGCTATCAGAAGTACTTAAAAAAAAACATTTTTTTATTGCTTGCTTGCTTCACTAGAAATGTATACATTCTGAGAACAGACTCAGTTTATTCTTCTTGTCCCATGCCCAGTACTAGGAAATGAAAGACTGAAAGGTCTCTGGTGGGGAGGGTTGGAAGTGTGGTCTTTCATCTAAGAAGATGACTTTTTAAATGTGCTTTATTTTGGGGGTAGTAGCTTACCATAGCCATTTCTCTCTTTGTTGGGTGACAACTTTATAACTAAGGAGGAGTACATTTTTGGGCTGTCTTCACCCTATAGACTATTAACATTATCTTTTACTTTTGTAGAGGCGCTCTCCTGGTCTGCGTTCTGACTCTTCTTTGGAACAGAGCTTAAGGATCACTGTTGGTAATGACCATTTCTGTGTTGGCATACCAGAACGGCGGCGGCTTAGTGATCGACTGGGGTCACCAGTGGATAATCTGGAGGACGTGGACAGGTAGGCTTCATTTGAGGCAGGGCACACTATAATAGTGCTTGAAGGTAGAAAAGTTGCTCTTTTCTGAATAATGTATTTGAAAGAGTGGTGCCAGCATTGAAGTTATGCCCTCTGTCCAGTACAAGGTATAACATTGGAAAAGGCTTTCTGAGTGGGGAGAGTATATTGATATAGACTCTGTTGCTGAAAGAATTATGTAGAAGAAAAGACTTTGGAATGTCATCCTGGTCCACCTGGAAAGCTGAAGGGACATAAACAGAGTTCCCCAGATTAAAAACAGTTGAGATGATAAGGATTCTAAAATACTGGAACTAGGATCCTTTCTGCAAAGGAAAGTTCTGGACAAAATAGGAAATCTTGTTTTAGTGGTGTTATTTTTCAGCTTGGTCAGGTTGAAATAGAGGTTCAGAAAGGGCTTAGATAAATTCATGTCTAATATATGTATCTATATTAAATATATAAGCATTAATAGAAAGTTAAAGCTCTTTAAAAATGTTTAATTTCAGTTACTACTTTACAATTGTTAGAGTGCTGAGGAAGGACAAATACGCTCCACAGAGTGTTAAATATAGGTCCCAGGTGTTAGGAACTTAACTATATATGGGAAGAAATCACATTAGGTGTGTCTCACCTCACCAAAGTAAATAAGAATGGGAGTACAGGGAAAGCACTCTTTCTGAGAGCTGGGATCCATGTCTGTTACGGTCTCTGCCCGGCATACTGGGAGTTTTAATAAATGATTAGCAGTAGCAACAAATCAATGTGTTGCTCTTACAAACTGAGGCTGTCCATGCAGTGGTACACTGAGCATAGGCAGACAGGTGGGGGACAGCTGGACAGGAAGTCTGAAGACCAGTGCTACCCTTTGGTAATATTTACTTCAAAGCTGCAGTGGCAATTTGATGTGGCAAAGCAAGGCAGGACAGTTCTATGTCATACAACATAAGCTTCTGAAGATAGGCTTCAAGGTATGTGGCTATATCCCTTAATTGAGGCAAAAGCCCTTGCCCTTCTGGCTGCTTCTATTTTGGGAGATGGTTGAGTAGGTGGTGCATGGTGTGACTCTCTTCCTTCCTTGTTAAGGTTTTGCGGTAACTTAAGCATTTCCTCTTTTATGTCTAGGCTTTCACCTCCCCTTTCCATAAGCTTTGTTATGCACATGTGCTTCAGAGAGCTAATTGTCTTTTTTTAAGTTGTAAAAATTAAAATTTTCCTTTTAGGGAGTTTGGGACAGTAGTTTTCTTTCCAGAATTAAGTGTTTCAGAGAGACAAGCTACCGGTGAGGCGCATGGCTGGTGCAGTTGGTAGAGCATGCATCTCTTGATCTCAGGGTTATGAGTTTGAGCCCCATGTTGGATGTAGAGATTACTTAAGGAAGAAAAATAGAAGGAGGTACTAGTCCATTATATAGATTTTTGTTCCCTGTACTTTTGCTCAATATGGTTTGTGTAGATAATTACTGTCTATTAAAATGTGGTCATAGAACCATTGGCGTTCTCAGGATGTCTCCTGATAGCGTGTCCAGTTTTCAGCTGTACCATTTCCAGGTCCGGGCCATTTTTGTCCTTTCTATGTAGGTTTTTACATTTTTTTCCTGGGCGCACCTGGCTGGCTCAGTCAGTAGGGCATTCAACTCTTATTCTTGAGGTTGTAAGTTTGAGCCCCATGTTGGGTATAGATATTACTTAAAAATAAAATCTTTAAAAATAAATGTTTTCCTGGGACCCTGGTGTTCTTTCTCTTCCCTTATTGAATATATTAAATTTTATATCCAGTTTGGATTACAGCCAAATTGCCAGAGTTGTCCATGTTCTCACCTTGGCAGCTCTGTGTGTATTAATGTTAACTTATTCTGGAAAGGGAACATGAAGAGGTTGAATGAAGACAGCTTCTGAAGATTTGTGGATGTGAGGTCAATTTCTCCTATTAACAAAGTACTCTGCACATTGTATGTTTCATTCATGGAATTCTTAACTCTTCCTTGCCCTGACATAGGTTGAAAGAGCAAGATTTTTGCCCTCCGATTTGCCTTATTATATGTGCTGCCGAAGCAAGCACCCTCCGATTTGCCTTAGGGAAAAGACAGAAGCACACAGTTTTCTTCCAGCATTTTGGGGAAGCAGCAGAGGAAAAGAATGGGATGTTTGGGCTCTGGAGGATCTTTTTTTCTTTTCTTTTCTTTTTTTTATCATATACTTTTTTTTTTTTTTTAAAAATTAAATTTATTCATTTGACAGAGAGAGACACAGCGAGAGAGGGAACACAAGCAGGGGGAGTGGGAGAGGGAGAAGCAGGCTTCCCATGGAGCAGGGAGCCCGATGCGGGGCTCGATCCCAGGACCCTGAGATCATGACCTGAGCCGAAGGCAGACGCTTCACCGACTGAGCCACCCAGGCGCCCCTATCATATACATTTTTTAACAGCTTTATTGAGCCATAATTCATATACCATAAAATTCACCCATTTAAAGTATATAGGTCAGTGACTTTTAGTATATTCTCAGAGTTGTGAATCCACTACTATGATCAATTTTAGTACAGTTTTATTACTTGTACTCTTAGCTATTTATTAGTTAACCCCACCACCTGCCATAGCTTATCACTAATCTACTTTCTGTCTCTAATAGATTTGCCTATTCTGGACATTCCGTATGTGACTAGCATCTTTCACTTAGCATGATGTTTTTCAGGACTCACTCATGATGTAGCATATAATAGTACTTCATTCCTTTTTACTGCCAGTAATATTTCATTGTATGTGTTTTGTTTATCCATTTATCAGTGATGAATGGATGGATAAATTTGGGTTGTTTCCACTATTTGGCTATTGTGAATAATGCTACTATGAACAATTGGTGTGTAAACTTTTATGTGGATATATATTATATGTTTTTTTTAACTTATTTAATGCAATTCATAAATACAAAGTACAGAGAGGGAGCTCCCCTCTACTTGCTAGATGAGATGCTGCCCAATTCATGAATAGCTTAATAAAGCTAATTAAATCTTAAAAAAAAAAGTAGAATAGTACAGAGAGCCCCCGTGTACTCGTCACCTACATCCAACAGTCAATTTTTTATTTATTTATTTATTTATTTATTTATTTTTTTAAAGATTTCATTTATTTATTTGAGACAGAGAGAATGAGAGAGAGCACATGAGAGGGGGGAGGGTCAGAGGGAGAAGCAGACTCCCCGCCGAGCAGGGAGCCCGATGCGGGACTCGATCCAGGGACTCCAGGATCATGACCTGAGCCGAAGGCAGCCGCTCAACCAACTGAGCCACCCAGGCGCCCCCAACAGTCAATTTTTTAAATAGATAGACCTTATTTTAGAAAAGAGTTGGATTTAACTAAAGCTTTCAGAGTGTGTTCCTGGACTGTTCTGAGCTACAGGGTATGGGGACCTTTTTAGGATTTACTTTTACTGCAGCCAGTTCTTTCTCTTATCCTTTGGGAGATCTGGGAAAGGAGGACATGAGTTTCTAATAAGCAACTTAATTTCTGGCTGTGTTTACATGATAGCTCATTGTTTTAACTGTTAATGTGCCTTTTTTCATTGTTTTTTTGTCTCCTTTTGCTGGAGATTACAAGTCTTGACTGAGACTCTCTGGGAGCCATTTCATTATTTCTGACTTCTTGATATTTAGGACTGGATTAGATTTTGAGCTGGTATGTCATTTGGTGGTAATATGTAATAGTTTTAGTGTGGAGCTGAACATGGAAGTATGGATGAATTTGCCATTACCTGTGGAACCTGTGTTTTTTCCCCCCTACACTAATACAATCAGAGAGTTTTTGATGGTAGATGGTGGAGCAATGGAGCAACTCATGGACATTCCTCCCTGGAAATAGGTATGTTCATGGCTGACAGACCTATAGAGTAAAATGTTTTACTCTAGTTATGTTTGATTTCAGAGATCATCTTTGCTTCAATCCCATTTTTTTCCTATTTTATACTATATTGAAACCTCAAAATTCCCCAGACTCTTGGGGAAGAGGTGAGTTATAGGAACCTGGATTCCCATGGGTGGCATTCTTTTAGCGGAGGTGATAAAGTTTATCTTTAATAAAAGTCTTTCATAAAGTTATTTATAGCTGTTACCCAGGTCTAAAACTTTGAACAAAGGCAGGACTGGTGAATAAGAAAAGGCAACTCTTCGATGTTCTGCTAACTCAGTCCCAGAGAAAGCGACTAAAAAACAAACAAAATGAAAGAAAAGTTATTTCTTAGAAACTTTCAAAAAATAGAGGTAGGTACTAGAAACTGTAGCAAACACCAGTGTGAGTGGAATGTGAGTAACCTGTAAATTTTTCATTCAGATTATTTAAAAGTTGTATGCTCAAAGTTCTGTAGGATCTTTATTTCTATCTGTGATTAAATCAGAAATTTTCTTTTTGGGCAGTAGAAGCTCTGTGACCACAGTACCCAAAAAGATTAGGACTACTGTGTGTGGTATAGAGCCCTGAACTGAAAAAGGACAAGTGTCCCAGCCTATATTTTTATCTTCATGCCACAAAGGTCCAAGACCGTTTTATTTCTATGAAATGAAAATATATAGTGAGCCAAACCGCCACATACTTTTTCCCACACCCAGGATTAGCAGATGCTTGTGGATATCCAAGCAAAGTAGAAAAAGGGAATTAAACAGGCTGTGGAAGGAATTTTGTGGTTTTTAATATGTGAACTAGCAAAACAAAGCATTGGAGAACCTTCTAAAACTTGTGAGAAAATGCCAGTAAGGTAGCTCAGTAGTTTAAAAAAATTTCCCCCACAGTGAAACACTTCTTTTCCAAATGATATATAGAACTTTATCTCATAAACAGATAAAATTGGAGCTAGTACAGTTTTGGTGAGGTGGAAGGCCCAGAGCCATGCAGGCTCTGCTTTTTTTTTTTTTCTTTTCTTTTTTTTAAAGATTTTATTTATTTATTAGAGAGCATGAGCAAGGGGAGGGGAAAAGGCCAAGGGTGAGAAGCAGACTCCCCGCTGAGCGTGGAGCCCAGCGTGGGGCTCCATCCCAAGACCCTGAGCTGAAGTCAGATGCTTTACTGACTGAGCCACCCAGGTGCTGCCAGGCTCTGCTTTCTTAGCATGTCTTTCTTTTAGGCAGCTCCTGAGCAGACTTCAGAATCTCTGTAGAACATAGCTTGAGGGCGCCTGGGTGGCTCTGTCGGTTAAGCATCTGCCTTCGGCTCAGGTCATGATCCCAGGGTCCTGGGATCAAGCCCCACGTCGGTCTCTCTCCTCAGCGGGAGCCTGCTTCTCTCTCTCCCTGATGTTCCCCCTGCTTGTCCTCTCTCTCTCTGTCAAATAAATAAAATCTTTAAAAAAAGAAAAGTTTAGGTTTAAAAAAAAAAAAAGAACAGAGCTTGAAAATCATTGATCTGGCCTGGTGTTTCTCAAATGTTAAAGTGCATACCTATCACCTGGAGATCCTGTTAAAATGAAGGTTCTGATTCAGGAGGCCTGGATAGAGGCTGAGAATCCACATTTCTAAAAAGTTCCTAGGTAATACAGATGCTGGTGATTCAGATCATACTTTTGGTAGCAAAGAGCTAGAATTTAAGCTAGTGTGGAGTTGTTCAATCCAGGGCCTTTTGTAGTCTGGTAGTGGTATTTTCACATCTCCCAAACCCTAGTGTGATATTCTGCATCTCCAAAGTCTAGTCAAAGAGATTAGCCTAAGAGCTCTGTCTAGACAGACTAGTAATATCTCTCCTTGGTTAGAGGCTGAAGCTGCTTGTGCCCTGGAGAAAGGGAAAAGAAATGTTCCATAGGTTTGTTCTTGGACTTCATGATTGTGTTTTGTCTTAAGTATTTTGTAGCCCCTTGGCTGAATGTCAGGCTCTTAATCTTGTCTGGTTTTGCTGTTTCCAAGTCCATTGTATTCAGTGATGCTTGTCTCTTTCCTCAGGGATGACCTGACTGATGATTCTGTCTTCACTCGAAGTTCCCAATGCTCTCGAGGTCTTGAACGATATATTTCCCGGGAGGAGGGACCTCTTAGTCCGTTCTTAGGACAACTTGATGAGGACTACCGGACAAGAGAAACTTTCCTGCATCGTTCTGATTATAGTCCCCATATCAGTTGTCATGATGAGCTGTTGCGGGGAACAGAAAGGAATAGAGATAAACTCAAAGGTTCCTACTCCATACGACCCGAGGAAAGGAGTCGGGAGGCCAAACGGCCCCGTTACGATGACACAGAGAAGATACACAGCATGGGAGGTGATCACTCAGGTTTTACATCAGGGACCCGCAACTATCGACAGCGTAGACGAAGCCCAAGCCCTAGGTTTCTAGATCCTGAGTTTCGAGAGCTGGACCTTGCCAGGCGAAAACGAGAGGAAGAGGAGGAACGAAGTAGGAGCTTGAGTCAGGAGCTGGTTGGCGTTGATGGTGGTGACACTAGCTGTCCCATTCCTGGACTGTCGGGTGTCCTAACAGCATCGGAGCCAGGATATTCTTTACATCGGCCTGAGGAAGTATCTGTGATGCCCAAGAAGTCAATTCTGAAGAAACGGATTGAGGTGGACATGGAGCCTTCCATTCAGGTCTCTGCTTCATTTCTAGGATCTCTTGCTAGTCCCTCTAATATCTTGAAACTTGGTTACTTTTCTGGGGGTGTGTGTCCCTAACGGTATCTTTGTAATATATCCTGGACCAACCTTGTTATGCCTATGAGCTCTATCTTCCAGGATTCTCCAAAGGAAACTGTAGGCCTTACAGTGCAATCATACCTCGAAGCCCTTGAGGTAGAGGGCTTCTATTGTCATATATTAGGCTTTCTAAATAAACACTTTTGAGTATTTATTTTAAGTTTTTTCTCTAAATTGGGTAGCCCTATAGGAATCTTTGAATGTGGATATCTTGGAAATTAAGCTTAAAGGGCAAAGAGAGGAGATGATCTGAATTTTTCTCATTTCTCTTTAGAGAGAAGACAAGATTCATGAGTGGTAGGTCACTAGACCAGAAATCAGGTGATTCTGATTCCGGTCCCACTGCCACCCCCTTGCTGTGCGATTTTTAGGCAAGTCACCTCACCATTCTGGGCCTTGTTATTTTTCCCTCATCTGTGAAAAGATGATCAGGCATGAGCACTAGTTTTTAGCTATTCTCTTAGGAGTCCAAGGTTTCTGAAGAAGTACCTAAGGGCACATAAAGAAGCAAAGGGAGGCTGATCAGTTAGGGTTTCACAGTTTCCTAATCCCACTTGAACCAAAGCAGCTCCACTTTTATGTCTTTTTTTCCTCCTTCGAGGGACCCATGGAAGAGCTAGAGCATCTCTAAAGTCCTTTTGAATTCATATTCCTTGGTAAGGACTACAACAAATGGGCAAAAGTGAGGATTCATGCCAGTCTGCCTTATTTCATGTTTCCCCTTGCTTCAGCAGAAGCATCTGGAGAGATGGAGACCCAAATCTTGACCCTGCCTAAGGATACTGTACCTCCCTTTGATTCATACTTATCATTCCCCTATTAATTCAAGAAGAACCAAGTATTTAAGTATTTATCTCAATTACTAGTTTTCTGAGATTCTGCATAGAGGCTAAATCACTTGTGCTTGTCTTTGCAGCTTGATAGTTTTTCCAGCAGTACCAGCTCCAGCCAGGATCACCCTGTCTACTCTGGTCACCCATCTCTTCCACTAAGTGGTGCTATTGCTGCTTTTGCCTCAGAGATTGAAAATAAGGGAACTATGGTAGAGACTACCCTGAAGGAACCTCAGGGCAGCCTCTACCAATGGGGTCCTCTCCCTGGGATGCCCAAAGACAACAGTCCTCTCAGAGAGAAGTTTGGAAGTTTTCTCTGCCACAAGGAGAAACTGAATATGAAGCCTGAGGGGCCTGAGCGACACACAGACTTCTTGCTCCCCCATGAGACGGCTAGCCAGGATGGCAGTGGTTTTTCCCGCATTTTGAGCATGTTGGCAGACTCTACCAGTACACAGGAAAAAAGGCGCCGTAGTTTCCCTGACATTGAGGATGAGGAGAAATTTCTCTATGGGGATGAAGAAGAGGATTTAAAGGCAGAATCTCCACCAAAGCCCCTTGGGGGCTCTGCGAGTGAAGTCTTGAGACAGAAGGCAAGCTCCCTGCCCTCTTCAGCTCCAGCTGTAAAACTAGAATCAATAGAAGAGACCAATCCAGAATATGCCAAGATTCATGACTTGCTCAAGACCATAGGGCTGGATATCGGGGTAGCAGAGATTAGTAAACTGGCCGCCCGCACCCAGGAACGACTTCATGGCAAGAAACCATCACGTTCCTCTGCTGACCGCCGTTCATCAGTTGACCGGCACTTTTCAGCAGACCGCTGCTCCTCAGTTGACCACCATTTCTCAGCTGATCGGCACTCCTCAGATCCTCACAGACTGGAGAGCAGGGAGGCACACCATAGCAATACCCACTCCCCAGAGGTGTCCCATCCACATCCAGTCTCCCCTGTAGATCCTTACCTGCTCACAAAAAACAGCCCCCCATTCCTAAAGTCTGACCATTCAGTGGGTCATGTTGCAGGGTCAGAGGTAGTTGGCAGTGGTTTTCAGTCATCTGTGGCTGTCAGATGCATGTTACCGTCAGCCCCGTCTGCCCCAATTAGACTTCCACATCCTGCTTCATTATCTCAGTTTCATATGCCAAGGGCCTCTCAGTTTGCTGCAGCTCGGATACCTCCAAACTACCAGGGACCTGCCATTCCCTCTGCTTCCTTTGATGCCTACAGGCATTACATGGCATATGCAGCCTCAAGGTGGCCCATGTATCCCGCCTCTCAACCATCCAACCACTCTCTACCTGAACCACACAGGGTAATACCCGTTACCAAACAAGCTACTCGTAGCCGTCCCAATCTCCGTGTGATACCCACTGTGACTCCTGATGAGCCCAAACAGGAGGAGTCAGTGCTAAGCTCAATTCCTACTGCTCAAGTGCCTGTCCAGGTGTCCATCCCATCACTCATAAGATACAATCCGGAGAAGATCTCTGACGAGAAGAACCGTGCTTCCCAGAAGCAGAAGGTAAACACTAGCTTTGGGCATCCTGTGCCTGAGCCTTCCTATTTTAACATAAATTGGTATTGGTCTTTTAAAGGGAGTAAGGTCCTTTTACTTTTAAGTTTTTGGAGGCTGCTGTCCTCGCTCTAAGTAATGTATATACCCCCTCTGTTTTTCTCATGTTTTCTCATTAGGACTAAACTAAATTCTGGCCCTAGGTCCCACTGTGAGTTCTTGACTTCTTTTTTCTTTTTGAAGTGTCTCTATCAGGGGGCACCTGGGTGGCTCAGTCGTTAAGCGTCTGCCTTCGGCTCAGGTCATGATCCCAGGGTCCTGGGATCGAGCCTTACATCGGGCTCCCTGCTCCATGGGAAGCCTGCTTCTCCCTCTCCCACTCCCCCTGCTTGTGCTCTCTCTCTCTCACTGTCTCTCTCTCTGTCAAAAAAATAGAATCTTTAAAAAAATATAAAGTGTCTCTATCAGAATTACTGGGCTTAGAACACTATGGGTAGGAGTTGAGAGCCTTAAAGTTTTCAAATATGACCTCATCAGGGAATGAGGAACCAAAATGGGATTGGGTTAAGAAGAATCAGTAAACCTGTTTTCATCTTAGTGAGTTTTGGATCCTTTTCCTATAGTGATTATGAGGGTTAAAAGCTAATACCTGGTTGTTGCTTGGTAATTAAACCCAAGAAATAAGCTTTGCTTGTTCTGGTTTCTTTTAGAGTCCCGGACTCTATAAAACAATACTTTTTTTATGACACTTTAAAAAAAGTAGTTTTTATACTACAGAGTTCATTGTGTTCTCTGGTATAGGAAGGGAGCAGTGGCTGGGGTAAAGATGTAATAATTCTAGATGTTTTAAAACAGTAGGTAAAAAATAGGGATGAGGAATACAGAATAGCAGAAATTCAGATGGAAAAATTAATGCGTTCTCTTAATTTTAAAGGTCCTTAGTAACTATAACTCACTTTGTTTAGGAACATAAAAATGTAATATATAAATTTGGTTTGCTAATACAATAATGAAAACCTGAGGAGAAAAAAAGGGAAAAAGTGGAGGGCCAATCATTTTTTTTCCGATTTAAAGGAAATTTAGCTAATTCTTGAGAAGACAGAAATCATTCTTCTTAATTTTTCATTGTACTTAGATACTCTGAACTCCAGAAAGAGGGGGATAGGTTCAATACAGACAAACCCCGAGACTGCACAGACACTGTTTGTAGACTGAATGCTTTCCCTTTACTTCTTCTTCAAGAACCTAGCACTAATACACAGGTTTTCCACACTAGTCCATTATAGACAAGCTGTATTTGTTTTTTCCATTAAGTAGTAGTAATACAGTTGAAACACTGTGGGCTTTTGGCTATATGTACCTGGATTTGATTTTACTTGATTTGAGTTGATTTATATACCTGGATTTTAAATTAAAAAAAAAAAGATTATTTATTTATTTGAGAGAGAGCATGAGCGGGGAGGAGGGGCAGAGGGAGAGGGAGAAGCAGACTCCCCGCTGAGCAGGGAGCCCGCTGTGGGACTCGATCCCAGGACCCTGGGATCATGACCTGAGCTGAAGGCAGACACTTAGCCAGCTGAGCCACCCAGGTGCCCTGGATTTTAAATTTTCTTACTATATGATCTTGGGTATGTTACTTGATCTTTCGCAACCTCAGTTTTCTTACTATAAAACAGAGATAGTGTCATGAGGATTAAATAAGATGATGTATGTAATGCAACTAACAACAGTGTATCCCCTATAACACTTATTAGTTCCCTTCTTGATGGTTCCCTTTGAGCTCAGAACCACTGTCTAATAGTTGCTGTCGGTAACTTTAGGTTAACATTAATAGCATAGTGCTTCCTGGGGCGGCTGGGTGGCTCAGCCGGTTGAACGTCTGACTCTTGATTTCAGCCCAGGTCATGGTCTCAGGGTAGTGGGATTGAGCCCCACTTTGGGATCCACGCTGGGTGTGGAGCCTGCTTGAGATTCTCTCCCTCTCCATCTGCCCCTGCTACCCCCCCACCAAGAAAAAAATAGTATAGTGCTTTCTGCATAAAAATAATACTTCTGGGGCAATGTAGTGATAAGGATAATTTTATTCTGGAATTTGGGTCAGAATGAAATATCACCTTTGATATAAAGTCAGAACTTATGTGTGCAGACATTTGGATCCTTGGATTCTGATATCATCTAGCATGACGGCTTATGGAAGAGAGCAATAGAAAAGTGAGGATGTGCTATGGTGAGCACTGGGAATTGTGTAAAACTGATGAATCACAGACCTGTACCTCTGAAACAAATCATACATTATATGTTAAAAAAAAAAAAAAAAGATAGTAGGAAGGGAAAAATGAAGGGGGGGAATCGGAGGGGGAGACAAACCATGAGAGACCATGGACTCTGAGAAACAAACTGAGGGTTCTGGGCGGGGGGGGGGATGGGTTATCTTGGTGATGGGTATTAAAGAGGACACATATTGAATGGAGCACTGGGTGTTACACACTTTATTATATATCAAAAACTAATGATGTAATGTATATATGTTTGTTATATATCAGAAACTAATGATGTATGGTGATTAACATAATAAAATTAAAAAAAAATCATTACTAGATTAAATCTTTCTTAGACTTTGGAAAAAAAAAAAAGAAAAAGGAGGATGTTGGAGGCTGAAGGATGTTGTACTTTGCAGGTTATTGAAGAGAGGGAAAAGCTAAAGAGTGACCGGGAAGCTCGCCAGAAGAAGATGTACTACCTCAGGACTGAATTGGAGCGGCTTCATAAACAACAAGGTATCAGACACTCCTGTGCGTGACTGCCTTTTTGTAGTAACTTGAGTAGGAGACCTACTCAAGGAGAGCTGTGAGGACTCTCAGACGGGTTCAGTGACTTCTGAAGCCTTACTTTTTAAAAAAATTTTGACTTAATTGGACTTAGAGAAAAGTTGCAATAAAAAGTTACAGTAATAGTGTAAAGAATTCTCAGGTATTCTCTATGATTATTAGCATTTTACCATATTTGCTCTAACCTTTTTTCCCTCTCAATCTTTGTGTGTGTGTGTGTGGGGGGGTGTATGTGTGTGATTTTTCCTGAATTCTTTAAGAGTAAGTTTTAGATATGATCCTCCTTTACTCCTAAATACTTCATTGTGAAGATGAAGTGAACATACTCCTAACAATAAAGAATCCACTTGCATAACCATTGTACACTTATCAAAATTAAGAAATTAACCATAATGTAATACTAGTCTACTGATCTAATTTCAATTTCACTGGTTGTCCTATTAATGCCCTAAAATGCAAGATTATGCATTGCATTTGGTTGTCATGTTCTTTTACTCTCCTTTTTCTGTAATAGTTCCTGAATCTTTGTTTCATGACATTGACATTTTAGAAGAAAAGAAGTCACATATCTGTAGAATGTCCTTTAATTTTGGTTTGTGTGGTGTTTCCTTACAGTTAAATTTAGGTTATGCATTTTTGACAGGAACATCACAGAAGTGATGCTGAGTTCGTATCAGGTGTTGATTTCAGTCCCATTACTGGTAATGTCAACTTTGATCATTTGGTTAAGGTGGTGTCTTCAAGGGTTTCTTCACTGGAAAGTTATTATTTTATCCTTTATAATTAGTAAGTAACTTTATAGGAGAGATATTTATAGGAATAACTATTCAGTTACTCCTCAAATTTCCTCTGACTAGTTTTAGCATTCATTGGTGATTCTTGCCTGAATCAGTTATTGTGATGGATGTTAGTGATTTTCTAATTTCATCATTCCTTCTACTTTTTTTTTTTTTATATAAAGATTTTATTTATTTATTCGACAGAGAGAGACACAGCAAGAGAGGGAACACAAGCAGGGGGAGTGGGAGAGGGCGAAGCAGGCTTCCCGCCGAGCAGGGAGCCCGATGCGGGGCTCGATCCCAGGACCCCGGGAATCAGTTATTGTGATGGATGTTAGTGATTTTCTAATTTCATCATTCCTTCTACTTTTTTTTTTTTTTATATAAAGATTTTATTTATTTATTCGACAGAGAGAGACACAGCAAGAGAGGGAACACAAGCAGGGGGAGTGGGAGAGGGCGAAGCAGGCTTCCCGCCGAGCAGGGAGCCCGACGCGGGGCTCGATCCCAGGACCCCGGGATCATGACCTGAGCCGAAGGCAGACGCTTAACGACTGAGCCACCCAGGCGCCCTTTTTTTTTTTTTTTTATATAAAGATTTTATTTATTTTCCTTCTACTTTTATTAGTTGGCTTTCTCCTGTGATGAAGAGCTTCCTGCCCATCCCTCTTCTCCCATTCATTGATCCATGTATGTTGGTGTGAACCCATGGACTCTCCATTCAACAAGTTTTAATAATTTACTTTTGATCATTTTCGTGCCCAAAGTGCCCCAGATTTCGCAGTGGGAGCCCCTTTGAGTTGACTTCTGTGTCCTTTGATATGTCCCCATCATTTTTTGAGTACTTCCTTTTGGCACAAAAAAATGTTTATGATGTCTCTTTGATTCCACCTCTTCATTTGTGCTTTTAGGAATTCACATACACACTGAGGAAGGAACATAACAAGGCTTCTAAATATTATAGCTTGATGATAGCATGGCAGAACAGAGTGGGAGAAGATACAATTTCTTCTGTTTGGGTTTAGACTGTTTAGGGATGAGAAATTTAGTTACTAATCCGGTGAGGATTATTTCATGAGAACCTGCAGTTTAGAATAGGAGATAACATTAGGTGAACCTGAGGCAAAACCTAACACTCAATGCAGGTACCGATGAAGGATCTTTTTTTTTTTTTTTTTTTTTTTGTGAAGGATCCTTAAATCAGATAAAGTCAAATATGTG